ATCATCGAGACATGCAGCAGTAGAAAGAGGTCAGTTTCCCAACCAGGATGGAGGGAGGAGGAGGAGGAAGAGTTCTAATTGAATAACCCAGTCTTCAGGGAAAAGCTGAGCTTTGTTGGTTTGAGAGGATTTTTAATCAACCAGGGAATTTTTTCCCTCTTCAGAAAGCTTGTCATTAGCTCAGATGGACTACAACCTTGTAAGATTAAATGGTTTTAACCTTCAAAGGATGAGACAGGATCCAAACAGTTTGGAAGTGAACTCTAGTACAAGTTACTAGGCAAAAATAACAAACCCCAGGCAATTAGTTGTAGTATTCTTCATACCTTCATCCTTCTTTCTCGCCAGTGAAAAAAAGGGGTTCCTTATATGTCACCTCACAGTAGACGAATGTCTGAGGTCTCTTTTTTGATGGTTTAGAAATAAAACGGGACTGATTATGTGTTTTCCAGCAGGCACAGCAGTAAACACTGGTACTTCTGTTGATCAGCTTTTATAGGCTTAACTTCCTGGAGACAGTGGGCAACTGGAGTTATCCCAGAATTGAGGAACTTTTCTGAAGTTTAGTTTAGGTACCTTCTACAGTATCCTAATAATCACATGGAGTTACGCATCTGTGAGTCTGTTCTCTTTCAGTAAAGCATTTTCGCAAAATTATTTTGTCAAAATCAAGATATTTTTATTTTGTAGCTTCTCGGCTTACAATGTTGCTCACTGCCTCTCATTTTGACAAACACCTATGTAGAATTAATTTCTTTTCCCCACTTAACCTTTCGGAGTCCACTAATAAGTCACTTCATAGAATCATAGAATGGTTTGGGTTGGAAGGGACCTTAAACATCATCCAGTTCCAACCCCCCTGCCATGGGCAGGGACACGTTCCACTAGACCAGGTTGCTCCAAGCCTCATCCAGCCTGGCCTTGGACACTTCCAGGGAGGGGGCATCCACAGCTTCCCTGGGCAACCTGTCCTAGTGCCTCCCCACCCTCGCCAGGAAGAATTTCTTCCTGATATCCAATCTAAACCTCCCCACTTTCAATTTAAACCCTTAACCCCTTGTCCTGTCACTACAGGCTCTTGTAAAAAGCCCCCCCCAGCTTCCTTGTAGCCCCGTCAGGCACTGGAAGGGGCTATAAGGTCTCCCCGGAGCCTTCCCTTCTCCAGGCTGAACAAGCCCAACTCTCTCAGCCTGTCCCCACAGCAGAGGGGCTGCAGCCCTTGGAGCATCTTCGTGGCCTCCTCTGGACTCGCTCCAAGTGGTCAATATCCTTCTGATGTTGCGGGCTCCACAGCTGGACGCAGCACTCCAGGTGGGGTCTCACGAGAGCAGAGTACAGGGGCAGAATTATCTCCCTCCACCTGCCGGTCACGATTCTCTGGATACAGCCCAGGATACAGTTGACTTTCTGGGCTGCCAGTGCACACGGTCGGCTCATCTTCAGCTTTTCACCTGCCGCTTGTGATTTTCCTCAGTTGTTCATTATGAAATTGAAGTAGTCCTTTTATGACTAGGAAAGACACCATGTAGTTTTCAGATGTTGTGCTTTCTAACCTGATTACCTCCAAGTGTGTGATCCACCTCCATGTTTCCCTTTCCAAAACTGATTTTCTGTGTCATTGCTTGTCTAAATCTCTTCTGAAGAGGATAAGAAAAAGAACAGCTTCTAGGAAGAAATATATTGAGAAATTGGTAAAATACTGGGTTGATTTTGCTCTGAAATGCTTTGTGTGCTACTAAGAGTCTGTTTGAACCATGAACGGTTTTCTGTAACTTTTGCTGTTAAGTCTTAATTTTTCCCATACCTGGCACTTAGTAAGGCTTGGCCCATATTTTAATGCACACAGTATTAGAAATATTGTTTATGATTCAGTACAAAAGCTACAATTTTGGATTTCTGGAACACTCTAAAATGAATAGAGATGTTTTCTTTAATATCAAGAAAGTACTTATTTCTCCACGTTTCATTTCTGGCTTCTGTGTAGGTCATGGCATTTCTAGTATTGAGGGTGTTTGTACATCTGAACTGGATGTCTGAAACACAATAAAAGAAAGTAAAATAGGAATATCTGAAATGTCTCTAAATCTCTAATACATACCTTCAGAAAGTCTCACTTCAGGAATGAAGAATATGCTTCAGTGAGGTCTTTAGGCTGTCTAAAAGCAGCTAAACTGGGTGTGATATGTGTAGTAAGCCCGTAATATGTCTCACTTGAGCTTTATACTTCTAGGATCTGAGCTGCGTATTAGTGCTAGAGGGATGTGATGTCTTCTCTTGATGCTAACTGCCTATGGTTAATTAAATATTACACAGATTCACACATTACTGTCTTTGTGATCACATAAAACTAATGATAGATTGCTTACTCCTTTCATCCACTGAATTTTCAAGCAGAGGTTGCAGAAACACAGGTAGTAATGCAGAGTTTCTCCAAGGGACTCTGCAGAGAGCATGTCTGACATGACACAGCCATGTTATGATTCAGCTGTTTTAGAGATGTGTCATTGTTACATGTACAAATAAAATGGTAGGTGTTCATAAAATGACTTAGATTAACAGTGAGAAGAAATCTGCTTCTGCTTGCAGATTGGGTGCAAAATTTTGTCAATATTTGTGACTGTAAGCTTGCACATGAATGTGATCTATATTTAGTGTTGTTGTATATATATTCAGAATGCAAAATAGTGAAAATCTAGAATTTACTATTTGAAATAGAAATAATTGCTGTGCCACTGACTACACTAAACAGAACTGTTAATTTAGACTCATAAAATGCGGAGCTCATCTCTGGTAGAGTGTGACCAGGTATAGAGTGAATATCCTGACATTTGTAAAACAAAACCACAAACAAACAAACAAAAACAACACCACACCGTTAGGAGAAGGAAATGAATAAATATGGAAATCTGGGCAAAAATTCCATGGTTAATGAAGAAGGCAAATAAGGGCAGGAAAGAAAATAATTGTGTGGTACACACCCTATAAAATATAAAGGGGTTGTGGTGCAGATTTTAACGTTGCAAAGATAAAACTAATAAATATTGATTAATACTGCATAAACATTTCTGACAAGGCTGAATTGCAGTACTTCCTAGTCAAGTAAGATACCTCTGTGTAGAATGCAAGTATAAAGATTTCACATGTTTTCTCATATCCTAAAAAATAGAACTGTTAAATAACAATAATGACCTCTCAAGTCTTTAATTGCTGAATTTTGTAAATAAGCAGATTAAAATATGATATAAGCAAAAACCTAGCTGACCCTATAGGCATGGACAGAGTGCTCCACAATTGTTTAGAATCTTTAGAACTTCCTCAGGCATTCTCTAAAATTCAGGACACGTAGTTGGAGACCTCTTTCTTGTCCCACTGAGTATGCACATGGTGCAGCACAGAGGGAAAGTATCAGAAACTGCCTGTGGTTGAGTAGTTCTTCAGACCCAGCTAGTGGCACCACTTTCTGCTTTTAAGTTCATAGTGGTCTATGATGGTTGCTTGACCTAAAGTTTCTGTACCCCATACAGGATCCAAATCTTGCGTGCAGTGCATATAAGAGCCATAATACCCGTAACCATATGCTGAATAATCCTCAGTTTATTTTCAGAACTATTATTTTCAACCTATTGAGAGTGTTGAGGTGGAGTCCAGGGTTTTCAGGCCTATCCAGTTCCCCTCCTTTCTCCTTGTGGACGCAAGAAGAGATCAGGCCAAGGAACTGGGTCTAGAACTTCTGGTACAGCCCAGCCATCTGCAGCTGCCGGTTGCTGAGCTGTGGGAGCTGTCTGTAGGGGCTTGGAACATCGTCCCACAAGTTCTTCCAAGTCCTCTTTCTGCAAAGAGAGGTCTTTTGCTACAAAGTCCAAAGTGCCTTTTAAACCAATGGTGTGAGTCAGTGAGCGGCATATGGGAAATAATTTTCCAGATCTTGAGTAGACTGTACCAGGGACTCTTATTTGTAGACAAAAATCTATGGTCTGTATGGGCTCAGGTCATAAACTCAAGGGAAATTTTTAGCATGCATTTAAGCATGTGTTTCTCATTCATTCAAAATAGTTGGTGAATATGGGAGGTCAGATACGTCTGTCTTTGGATGGTGGAACATCAATTATTTTAATGCCAGAATATTGAAACTATTTATTGATGGAATTATCTTAAAAATTTCTCCTGTGTCTGCAAAATGAGTAACCAGCTGTATAACCATGCTGATCCTGAAATGCGTGAAAGAGAAAGTAACTATGCTTACATCATAGTAACAGGAGAAACCCTTATATCATTATTTGTAGATATATAGTATAAAAGATGTAAAAATAATTCCTTGACTGAAATCTTACATATAATGTGAAGCTGTGTGAGTATATTCTGCTTCAAATAATGAAATACACAAAATTTGAAAACACTGATTATGAAACTGTGTAAACTTCAAATAATGATTTTTACACCGATTTCTGTAGAATCTTGAAAGTACGTTTCCTTGAGATACTTCTTTTCTCCATTTGTTTTTCACAGCCTTCCTTTTCTGCGTACATAGAGATCTTCCTCTTCCCAGTAGATCTCTATCATCAGTTCTAATGCCACTTTACATCCAGAATGTAAACTGTGGAAAAATAAAACATTTTCTGGCATATATATATATATATATTTATATAAAATGGGTATATCCACATTAGATAAAGAGTTCTGCACTAGAAGAAATGTCCAACTAGAAAGCAGTAAAATAATTAGTGTTGTTGAAGCTGATATTTAGCCAGTAAATACATAAACAGAGGTGGGGCTTCATATATATATACCACAGACGAAAAACGTATGACTCATTGTTTAAGGTGAAGTCTTAAAAACGAGGTGGATGACCCAAGAATATTTAGATACTAAATCTGGCAACACAGAATTTGTTGAATGTATTTTCAGTAAACAAACAGTTTAATTCTTTGCTGTGTAACTGAAATATCTTGGGGTGCCTTGTGATTTCATACTGGCATGTGTGTTTGTTTGCGTAGGTACGTGCTCACCAGTTAGTTTTACCACCTTGTGACGTAGTGATCAAAGCCGTAGCTGACTACGTCCGTAATATTCAGGACACCACTGATTTGGATGCCATAGCAAAAGATGTTTTTCAGCATTCACAGGTAAAGTATAAACCAAAATACTAGTTTGTTGTTTGGGTTTTTTTAACAACTCTTCTATACATTTGTGTTAAAGAACTACATTCTATAAAAACAGTGTTTTGCATCAGTTAATAATAGGAGTCTGTTGGTACATGTAGTGTCTTAGATACTCCAGTATCACTTTCCATGCTTCCCAAAGGTAAAAACACTTCTTTAAAGTTAAATCCTTGATAACCAAAGGGGTTTTTTAGTCTGGCCTTGTACACTCTATTGAGAATCAGTGGTAAACAAAGATAGTATTTTTATCCTTACATGGATCGACATTGTGTTTCATGTGCTGTATCCTCAGTGGTCCGTAGGAGTTAGCACTGTATGTGATACGGTATATGGTAAGCACTCTGTAGTGCCCTGCTGACCTATGGATGACATGCCTGGATCTGCTCCTGACAGATTTTTTTTTTTTATTATTTTAGTCTAGAACAGATGACAAAGTCACTCGATTTAAGAGAGCGGTTGCTTATTACTCAGCAACTAATAAACCTATGCCATTTCATCCACCACATTACCTAGGTAAGTAATGAAAGAAACAAGGGTTTTTCGTTTTTACTGAAAACTGGGATAACCCTAAATCAGCAGGATTTTATAAAATGTTTATATTCTCTGGCAGTTTTCATTAACCCTTGAATACGAGGTTTCCAAAGAAGGTTTTCATAGGATATATGCAGAGGTTATGTTCTTCCCCAAAAGAACTTGGGCTGATTTTCCTCTTAGCTGTTGCTGCTTTGGTTATAGCATTAGGACACTTGAGAGTATAGTGCTGTAAACAAGTGAAATCTCGTGACCGGTTCCAGTCATGGGGACAGTTTCTAGTTTTATTCCATAAAACATATTTCCTGTTTCTCACTGGACTTACCTGACATGTTTTAGAAATCCCTTTAGAGTCTTAGATTTTTTAATGTCATAAGATACCTGCTTAAATCACAGCCACGAATTGTTCTGGCATTGCAGATTATTGTCAAGGCTTACAAATTAACAGGATTTACTACACATGCCTCATTCGTAACACTAAAACATAGTTTGAGCTGAAATTTTTTGAAGATTTTCAGTTACCGTACTGGTATACTAGTACAGATTTTCTCCTTCCAATTTTTTGGGGTCTGGGGTGTCTTTACATTCAGAGACCTGCACTAAAGCTACTCTAGGTCAGATACTCAAATTATAGCAAGTTACCAGCATTATGTGTCTGTATTAATACTGGTTTTGCTGGCTCCTTCATTATGACATCTCCTGGGCTTTTTTTCTTTTAAGCTTCCTTCGATTCCCAGGTAGAATAGAAAAGTGCAGTAATAAGAGAGACAAAGAACTGAGCAGCCTTCCGTTACCTGAAGGGGCCTACAAGGAAGCTGGGGGATTGAGGGGGGATGTTTTACAAGGGCCTGTAGTGACAGGACAAGGGGTAACGGGTTTAAATTGAAAGTGGGGAGGGTTAGATTGGATATCAGGAAGAAGTTCTTCCCAGAGGGGGTGGTGAGGCACTGGGACAGGTTGCCCAGAGAAGCTGTGGATGCCCCATCCCTGGAAGTGTTCAAGGCCAGGCTGGATGAGGCTTGGAGCAACCTGGTCTAGTGGAAGGTGTCCCTGCCCATGGCAGAGGGGTTGGAACTTTAAGGTCCCTTCCAACCCAAACCATTCTGTGATTCTATGAGAGAAGGTGACAAAAGTGAAATGGACTTTACAAGCTTGAAATTATTTTTATTAAAAGGCAAAAATGAATAAAACTGACTTAAAGGCATACCAGAAACCAGTAATGATAACAGAATGAGAATAAATAAACCATAGAAATAAAATTATAAAAAGGTTAACATTTGTGTCAAATAGTGAGCATTTTCATAAGTATTTTGGGGTTTTTTTCTTCTCCCCCACCCTTCCCTCTCCTCTCTATTTGCAATACAGCAGCCAGACCAAACCAGTTTGGTATGCCTGGGATAGTGCCACCATATGTTCCGTCTCAGATGCTTAACATTCCACAGACCTCACTACAAGCAAAACCTGTGGTAAGTATAGCCCTCTGCCTCTTTCTGTGGGAGAAACGTGCTGTGCTTGTCAAATGAAAATCTAGGTGGGAACAGTGTATCTGACGTTTTTAGTATGGATGTTCCTGATTCAGTCGGGAACTATAGTGATGCCACATATTCTGGTAGAATTTTTGTGGATGTTCAAGATGGCTGAGATTTAATGTGTACATTTGGAAAATGCCACTTAAATAATATATTTTCTTTTAGAAGAAAAGCCTTTTTGTTACCCTTACTGAAGAAAGATCACTTTATTTTAGGCCCAGCAGATGTCCAATCAGGGTGGGGCCCAAGGTCAGGGTCCATACCCATACAGTCTCTCTGAGCCAGCCATCACCTTGGAAACAGGTGGAAAAAGTCTTTCTGAGCAGAACAACTACAGTAACATTCCTCACGAAGGAAAACATACACCACTGTATGAACGATCTTCTCCAATAAATCCAGCTCAGAGTGGGAGCCCTAATCATGTGGATTCAACTTATTTTCCTGCCTCTTCAACATCTTCGTCCTCCGACAATGATGAAGGCACTGGAGGTGCAGTGAAGTAAGTTTTTCATGAGGATGCTTTCTTACTTGGCTTCTTTTAAAATAAATATATTTTCAAAATCGTTCACCAGTATCCTGAAGGTAAGAAATCTGCGTATTAGTGATATGATAGACCTTCAGAAAGTAGTTTTAGGTCACTATGACTGCAAAGATATCCGTGGTTCACTCTAGTCACACTGTTCCTTAACAAGCCAAGCAGAAATCCAAAATCAAATAGTGTTGGGTGTTTTTCCACTTCTGCCCTTAGGTTTTATTGGACGAAGGAGAGCATGAGATTTTGGCAAATGTCATAAAGCCTTCAAGTTCTTTACTTTGTATAAAAGAAATATTCCTACTTCACAGTATAATTCATTAAAATTTCAGTAGCTAAAAATTATGGAACTTCACTGAATTTGTAGTGTTTACACTTGAATTTTGGGATACATTGTCTTTGCAAAGAAACCTGGTGTGAATGTCAGAAATTCACCGTTCAGGACAGTGAGTTCAGACCCCTCACTGACAGGCTGTGCATGGAACGACAACGCAGCCAAGTTTTCTGCTCTCTCCTACTAATGTGCCTTGTTTACTGCAAAAGTATTTCTGATGTCCACTAGATCATATGTCTGTCCTTGGCAATCAAGTTGTGCAGACTTTCATTTAATTGCTGCTTGCTGACCTTTGAAAAGGAAATCTGAACAAAGGCAGTTTGTGTTTCTACCTTCATGTTGTGTGTCAGTGGCTTAATGTGTGAGAATGAAAGCCTGGGGCTTGAGCAGGTCTGTGATTGACTCTGAAAGTTTGGGGTTGTGTGCAATAGTATGTTAGTACTTGGTATTAAATTCCAAATGTGTCTACAGTTATGCTTGATGGCTTGCGACTTTGGTTTTATTGATGCAGTTTGTCTAATTTAAATATTGTAACGTGTTTTATTTAGTATGTCAGTTTGTATGGCTTCCATGCAGTGTAGAACTGGAAATATACCCACTTTAGAAAAAAACCTGTATTATTCAGCATCTTTGGTAGTGTTGCCTTAGGCATTTCATACAATACATTTTGAATAAGTTTAGAAAAAAATCTAGACATTGTCATTTATATATCAGTTTGTAGAAGTAGTCTTCTAATTGAAGGGCATTAGTTGGCATAGTGACAGATATTTAAAATTCAAGATTTTTTTCCTGCATGATGATTATTTAGTCATTGTAATATACAGCTCTTAAATGCAATCCAAATGTTGACATAGTGTAGATTAATAAATGTCAGTATTAAAGTCTCTTTCAAGATTCCCGCAAATCGCCATTTCTAATACATAGCATCCCTTAAAATCCGAGTCTCTAGCCCATAGTTCCAGTAACAGTCACCAAGGATTTATACCATTGTATCTTAAATAGCACTTCAATGTTATGTTTTTCTTTGTTGTCCTTCAGCCATGTCAGTGGGAACAAAATAGGCTGGGAAAAAACCGGAACCCAGTCAGAAAGTCAAACGCGTGGAGAGCTGGGAGACCAAACAAAGGTAATTCCTTAAGTTCCAAAGATTACAATTTATTTTGTACTAAAGCTTTACAGCAAACTGAGTAGAATTTTTACTATTGATCTATAGGATTTAGTGTTAACTTTTACACGTTTTTCTGAATTACAAAAGAATAAAGTACAGCAAGATGTTTTCCAAGGAATATTGTAACATGCAGATCAAAACAAAAATTAAATATGATGTGTTAGAAAATACTAGATGTAAAATAGAAGGAAACCAATAAACTTGTTTACTCCTTAGCTAACAACATCATCCTTGGATATTGCAACCAGTAGTGCATTGTTTTGGTTTTTACTAAGGAGTGTAGCAGCCTAAGTGTCTGTGAGTTCAGGTTCAGCCTCTAACACACATTCCAGGGTTAGCCACAGACCATTATAGGTGTGTTAAAGCTCAGCTCAGGAGTAGAAGTCCTTTATAACTGCCTGATACGACTTTCACATAATGCGTACTAAAGTAGCTCCACGGGACCGGTTACAGTGTATTGACAACCTGACTGAGTAAGATTGGGGTAACTAAGCCCTTGGTAAAGATTTAACATTATCCTGTAAGATTTCTTCAAGATTTAAAACCATTCTAAAATTAAGGGGATGATGGTTTGTATTCCAAGTTTGAACTGTGTTTAAAAAGAACATTCAAAGTATTTGCTTTTAATATCTGCGTCCTTGTGATGGTACTGTACACCAACTATTAATTTTGTGTCAGATGAAACAATCGGGAGTTAGTTACACTGCAGACAAACATTTTCACTGTACCTTTGGCACAGAAATTCCAGTAAACTTGGGCTTTGTTCTTAAAATATCAAGCTGATGATTTCATCCATCAGTGGTGGTTATTTTTGCAGACTACGCCCCATACGATAACTGTAGCTGCCTGTGGCTGAGTCACCATATGCAAATGCTAACTTGACCTATTACATTCCTTTCTTCTCTGTATTTCGGGCGATGGCTGAAGCCCGGTGGGTCCCAGCTGCAGCCCTGTGCGTTCTGCCCAGCCCGATGTCCCGCGACGGGGAGAGCAGCCAGGATGACGGGGGTGCCTCCCAGGAGCTGGGCGGTGGGCGGGTGGGACACGCTACACCACATGTCTGGCTGCTTCTCTTCGTACATGCAGAATTAGAGCCGTAGCAGCGGTGATTAAACTTTGGGTAGATATACGCGTGCAGTCCTACTTCAGTGCATCCAATGTAATGTCTAAATGCTTGTGAGTTTTACTTAACCTTTGTCGGTTTTTTTAGTATCAAACTGCTGCTTCAGCCTTCAGTAAAGAGAAGACAGTTGTACGTGTTGAGCACGACAGGGTGGATTTTGAGTACATTTTGTAGATTAACTCATTTCCTAGGGAGTTATATATTAATGATTTTTTAAAAAGAAGTATTTCCTGAAGATTTCAACTGAATGAGTTATGTGAATTTCTGAGGTACTTTAAAGTACTGAAAATCTAGCATAGATCAGACAGGTACTGCAATCTTGTCACTCCTTTTACTTGACTTAAACGTCAAAATTCCTTGCTTTTAGTTGTCTCACTGCCTGATTATATGTGATAAAGCTATGCTCATCTCATTTGTGGGGATATGTATTACTAAAGAAGAAAACCCAAACTTTGAACTGGTAGTTCCTCAGCTTAGGTGTTAGAATACCGCTGGAGCAGATCCAGGAAGAACCTGGGTGGTACAAATAGGGAAAGCATTGCTATTGTTAAGAGATTTTTTTGTCTTCCTCCTTCCATGTCTCAAGCAACATGCAGTTCTGGAAACTTTTTCTTTGTGGTCCACTACCACTGACTTTTAGTTGTTGGGATAGTATAAGACAGGGATGAAAATCTTTAAACTTATAAGGAAATATATGTGATAATACAATGCAGATTTAATAGAGCTGTGATAGCTCACGTGTCCATAAAAAATTTTGTATTTGTATATTGTGTTAGGTTTACAGCTTTTAACTATTTCTGCTTTATATTTAATTTTTTATAAATAAAAGGAAGTCTGGATTACCAACCCTAAAATCTAAACTTTCAGTAGCATTCTCTTTGGGTGCTTAAAATGTTGCCCCTTTGATGTTTTGATAGAGCATGCTTTTACTAATACACACATTCCTATAGAAGGTTTTTGGATGTTGTGTGGGAGTTTTTTGTTTTTTTTTTTTTTACATGGAAGTTTGTTTTTTTTGTAAGACCCCAAAGTGAACAAGCTGATCTTGTTTGGGCCTGTGTTTTATGTTTTTCCATGGGATTTCATGGCTTTTAGCCATTTCTCTTTCAGCTTTGCTTTTAAAGTCTTATGCAGCATGTGAAATTTTATACACAAATTGTGAAAACACTCATGTATGATGTGTCATCAAGTGAATAAATTAAATTTCAGTCTGAAAAGTTTTTAATATTACTCTGATAGTTTATAGGCGAGGAACTAGTATGAGCTTTTAAGCTAAAAACTTGGGAAGACAAGGATTTTTAGGAATGAACTCTTTTTTTGGTAGTATCTTTGAGAGCTGTAACATAAATGCTTACAAAAGTCTTATTCACCAGGAGACTTACAGTATATTTTTATGCATTATGTTTTTCTTACGAATTTGTGAACTACATTTATAAAAATGCAATAAAATGCCACTTTAATCTTCACCTCAGAGGAAGAATTTTTTTCTTAAAAAAAAAAAAACAGCAAAACAACAGAACATGTACAAGGCTTTTGAGTTCAGACACTGTATATTTTAAATGTCTTTAAACTGAAAATAGTTAGTTCTTCCGTTTCATTTAGAAATAGTGGATGAAAAGCTGGACATGAGCCGGCCGTGTGAGCTGGCAGCCCAGAACGCCAACCGTATCCTGGGCTGTATCCAGAGAAGTGTGGCCAGCAGGTTGAGGGAGGGGATTCTCCCCCTCTATTCTGCTCCCCACCTGGAGTGCTGCGTCCAGCTCTGGGGCCCTCAACATCAGAAGGTTATAGACTGGTTGGAGCGAGTCCAGAGGAGGCCACAAAGATGCTCAGAGGGCTGGAGCATCTCTCCTATGATGAAAGGCTACAAGAATTGGGCTTGTTCAGCCTGGAGAAGAGAAGGCTCCGGGGAGACCTTATAGCACCTTCCAGTGCCTGGGGGGGCTACAAGGAAGCGGGGGGGGACTTTTTACAAGAGCCTGTAGTGACAGGACAAGGGGGAACGGGTTTAAATTGAAAGTGGGGAGGTTTAGATTAGGTATCAGGAAGAAGTTCTTCCCGGAGAGGGTGGGGAGGCACTGGAACAGGTTGCCCAGAGAAGCTGTGGATGCCCCCTCCCTGGAAGTGTCCAAGGCCAGGCTGGATGAGCCTTTTAGTCTCATGGAAGGTGTCCCTGCCCATGGCAGGGGGGTTGGAACCAGATGATCTTTAATGTCCCTTCCAACCCAAACCGTTCTGTGATTCTGTGAAATGCAAACTGAGAACGGACGTGTTAATGGAAGTCTAGGTAAATCATAGACTTTGTCACTGTCAGCTAACCCATTTAGTTGGTATTATCTTGGAAATATTTAAGAAATCATTTACATTTCATTAAGAGGTCATCAGTCCCCCTTTGGTATTGTGCAATTAATAAATAAAGAAAACAATAATTACTGTTGCTATTAAATATTATGGTAAAGCTTTAACTTACTATTTCCTCAATAACTTGCTTCTGCTAGCAAACAACGGGTGAAAGTTTATGTTTTCTGAAAATCTTAGCCAGCTGTGGATAGTGCATTCTCCATACGGATACACATGACGTGAAGATTTACTGTTTTCATTGTGGATGAATAAGGAAATGTGTGATTTCTCATGGCTGATCTCCTGGTATGGTTTTGTACACATTCAAAAGCACTTCATTTTTGTATGTTCTGTTACAGGCAGAAGGTTCCTCTAGTGCTTCTTCAGGAAGTCAGGCAGCTGAGGTCAAAGGGAATCAAACCAGTAATCCACAAATCCCATGCCTGTTGTCAATGCCCACCAGAAACCACATGGATATTACTACCCCTCCATTACCTCCAGTAGCACCTGAAGTATTAAGAGTGGCAGAACACAGGCACAAGAAGGGGTTAATGTATCCCTACATCTTTCATGTCCTAACCAAGGTATGACATTTAAAATTACACACTGTGAAATAACAGTTCTGTAAAGATAATTGCATTTATATTTCTGGCTAAAGAGTACCATAAATCTATATCCTTTTTAATGCTTTGAGTTTGGGTCCATTTTTAGTGCTTCTAACGTGTTGGTTGTGTTTTTCTCCTCCCCCCTCCCCACCCCACCCCCTGTTTTCTAACCACAGATCTGGTCTGGTACATTGTTCCAATAAATATAGGTGACTAGTTAAAGTGTTTACTTACAAAATTAATCATTTTCTTGAATATATGTAGACATTTTTATATCTCTACACACGTGTGTTTATGTCTCTGTGTGCATACAGGTGTGTGTGTGCTTATATATAGAATCCATTTACATCTGAATGCTCCTGTGTATGTGCTTTGGTGTCTGTGCCAAGTCTTTTCTATTTTCAGTATTCAGAAATACTTTGATTGTTTTCCCTCTCAGTCCCTGGTAGCTAGCTGTGATAGAAACAGCAGCGATAAGAAATCCCTTTTGTATAATCCTAAAATGTAATTATAGTTTAACTCCATGATGTTCTGAGGTTTTGCTCATTTTAGTTTGGCAGAACATTTCTGATGGCTTTTGATTTTTTGGTTTGGCTATTTTATGTGCTAGCCTTCAGATTCCAGGTATGCTGCAAGCATGTTCACACAGCTTAGGACTCTGTCTGCCTAGTGTGTCCAGTAAAAATCTACCTGAATGGCCCCCTGAGGACACCTTGGAAAGCAATGCGAGAGCTTCTTAAAGAAATAAGACAGTTGAGAACCTGCTTCAGTGTGTCTGGAAGCTGCTGAAGTCAGCTTTGTGTTGACAGGGAGGGAGCCAGCACAGGCGGGTATATACAGCTCTGTATTCGACTTAATCTAGTCTCAAAAGACATAAGTCCATTGTTCCTTCTAAGTGCAAACAGATGAGTCCCAGAACAAGACAACTTTAATCTTCTTCCTCTTTAGTGTTCAAAACACTTAGTACTGGTTTTCACACACCAGGTATGTATTTTACAGCACTGAGCAAGACAGCACTGTCCAAATGTCGGTTAACTTGTATTCACCTTAAAAGTCTGCTTCAGTAAGGACTGTAGGTGGGGATTTGAAATCCGTGAAGTGGGAAGTTTCTGCATCGAGGTTGATCTTTGAGTTTCCAGTGAGTTTGTTTTGCTCCGTGGCTTGTATTGCTGTCATATTCTTACATGACCCTTCTTACAGAGAGAAGTGGGGAAGAATCAAAATGCTTCGGAAGACCACTGATACCAGTTCTGTTGCATACTCTGCATAGCCACATTTTCTTAGTACATCTAAATACTACCTGATATATAATATCTCTCACAGTGGGAAGAAACAAATCAAATGCCTGCCTTTGAGAAATACACTCCCAACAGTGGGGGGGGAAAAATCAAAGTAAAGATGGCTGCACCAAAAATAAATCAGTACTACTTAAGGCTCTTTTTCTTTCAAATCTGAAATGCTTTTGAACAAGTATGCGGAGGGAACCTAAAGTACACCGTGGTACACTGACAGATGCCTTGTTGTATAATTATGGGATTCTTTAGAAATTGGCACTTAGAGGTGGTCCAGGTTATGTTGCTGTTACATGCAGAGACCTTTCAGACGTGCCTTATATCTAAAGCGGTGTTGTCTGAGTTAAACCTGACGATATCCCAGTGTCATTGCTCCAGGATGTCACCTACAGTATTCATTACTAGGACAGTTGAAAGGTTTTGTTTTTTTTTTTTTAAGTGGAAGCACCAAAACAGAGCTCTTCCTTGTCAGTGTTGAAAATAAAGGCTGATATGTGGGGGCAATACAGTGAAGTCAGTTGTTTTCCAAGAAAATCTTAACATGGTTGGATGCACAGATTTGGAAAACATACGATGTTGCTGCTGTTTTGAGAGAGAATGTTGGAAGGTTCTTTCATGCTTATTTCTGAAAAAGTATAGAATGCGAAAACTTTAATCATACACATTCAAAACCAGCCTTACTTACGTAATTCCCAGGTACTGTTTTTGAGCAGGTCTTTTTCGTTGTTTTTACAGTGAGTCCCCAATACTGTTTCAGATCCTTGTACCAAAAAGTCAGGCTGGTGTTTTTAGACAGATCAAATATATTTTAAAAATAACTGTCTGAAATCTAGATCAGCTTCAAATGCTTTGACTGTCTATAAGCACATTACTGTGTCTTCATGTGTAGTATTTCACTGTTTAAAGTATACTTACTTGAAGTTCAATACTTAAGTAATTCCTACTTGCAGATAGTCCAGGCAAAAAAAAACCAAACCAGAAAAGGTGTGTGATGGAGAAGACAGAGGAGAGCCAGAGGGATAATCACTGTAGGAAAGCAAGTAGATTGTGGGGTAATCCTGCTCTGTCTTACCTTCACATAGGTAAGATCCATATGACTGCTGAATCACATTTTTCTTGCCTAGACGAGGTGTATAGTAGAGCTGCATTGAGTTACCATGCATATCTAAGTACTTGCTGTTCATGATAACATGCCATATTTTTCTGCTTTCTTTCGCGCAAAAGGGTGAAATCAAAATTGCCGTTTCTATAGAAGATGAAGCCAACAAAGACCTGCCTCCTGCTGCTCTCCTTTATAGGCCAGTTCGTCAGTATGTTTACGGAGTTCTGTTTAGTTTGGCAGAAAGCAGAAAGAAAACTGAAAGACTTGCTTTTCGAAAGAACAGACTTCCACCAGAATGTATGTACTGTAGGATCCATTTTTTATATCTCTTCACTTTGCTGTTTTCATGTCTATTTGTGCTGTGATTTGAATGAGAGTAGTTACTAAGATTTCATCGGTATAGCTAATGCTGGAGGGAATTTATGGCTTGTTTGATCCATGGATAATAGAAAAAGATGTCTTTGAGTTTTTATTTCCTGTAGTAGTTTAAGAACTATAAATGTTACGATTTCTAAGCAAGCCCTGGGGTTTGGTTTGTAAATGTATGCTTGAGCTGTTACCAAGCTTGCAGTAAGTAATGTCAGCTTGTAATGTAGTTTTCTAAGTATAGGGCAGAACTTGATGAGAGGAAACTTCTATTCTGTGCATATGCATTCAAATTTGCTTACTTTCATCAAAAATGAGAGGTGAATATATTAACTTGCTGTGTCTTCCCAAATATATAATTAAACCTACTTCAGTGAAATTTGCAACTCTCTAGTATCCTTCAGTATTTCAGTACTGCTTTTCAGAGGTCTGTTCTCAGTGGAGGCTAAGAACGCTACTGCTGACTTGGTTTAGTGACAGGAGCTCCAGCCAGTCTTGCTGCAGGGCACATTCAGCTACTGACCTCCTTCTGTCTTAGGGCTGACCACAGTCTTTAAAAAAAAAAAAAAAAAAATTATAAAAATTTGGAACGTCTGCCCAAAAGTTAGTTGCATCACTGCAAAGCTCACTGTGCTAGCACATAGGAATTTGGGCTGAGATGCAAGCATGTGGCTTGAAAGGGCTGTGTTGCAGGAACACATTATTTTGCTCATCTCTTACAAAGTAGTAAGAATTGGGCAGGCTATGCCAGACGGGAGAGAACAGTGTCTTAAATGGCAGGAGTAGATTTCTCCTGTCGGTTAGTCATGCTTGTTAGCCCTTGCTAACTTCTTTGAGGACCCAGGCTATAATGAACTAGTGATGCTGATTCTTCTTCAGTGTCTTAATTTTTTTGCTGCTCTCAAAAATGTATTAAGTTATGAAACACAGTAGTTAATACAATTAAGGAAAGAATCTAATAATTAAGTGAATTAATTTCTGAAGATGTGTATTGTCTCTAAGATTTATGTAGAAAGTTAACGACAATATTAATATGTAAGACACTGTCATCTTTGTTGTACAAACCATAACACAGGCAATGTAGTAACTGTGCGTGTATAATTTGCATGTGAGTTACAGGAGGCCAGGAAAAATACATAATTAACTGACATATCAGTATTACTGCTAAATATATAGGCAGCAAGATAGTGCATGTTTCATAAAATGTGTGGCTTCCTGTCTTTTATTATTAGTTGTTGTGGTGGTTGAAAAGCAAACAAAAGATATGTTGGAAGAGGTAGTCAGTGATCTTCAATTATCTTTAGTGATAATTGTCTGCTTAGTAATGCCTTTGCTGTCCATGTCCTCATGTCTGCTCCCAGAGGGTATGAAAAGCTGAATCACAAAGTTCTTGATTGTGCTTTTGCTGCCAAGGGCACAGCACTGGTTGCACTGCCCTTCCTTTTGACAAGATGGAAATTGAGAGTCTGACTTGCTCTTCTTTTCAGGCTCTGAAATGGGTTATTTCTCATGTTCTGATGAATACGTACGTGTACATGGAAACCATCTGCCCTTTCCACTCTGTGGAACAATGTCCACTTGTAGAAGCTACCATAACTCCTGGTTGGATCCAGAGGCTTGTTATTTTACGCCTAGCACCTTGTGATGTAGTGTTGCTCAGCAATGATGTATTCACTTGATGCTGTTTCTGCCAGAAGGAAAGCTGTATCTTGGGCAGTAGCCCTTTTGCAAAATCAAGCATACTCAGCTCCAGTTGTGTTCTCAGTAAAGATTATAAGGTTAAAAATGAGGCGTGATTAATCTACATTACCTAGCCCATCTTCTGGTATGAGGTACCTCACACTTCACATGGAAAAAAATGCAAAGAGAATATCAAAGCCACCTGAGCTGTAGTTAGCAACAAGGGCTCTGACAGATGTCTTGAGGGTCCAGGATGCTGTTGCTAATGAATTTAGAGCCTGTAGCAGCATTCACATGTTACCGAGCAGGTTACCCCAATGTAGAGTGATGCTGACCGTTTGCACTTGGATTGACCTTAAGGTGTTGTGAGGGCAGTATTCAAAGCAGATGTCAATATACTGTGCAGTTGCTTAGTATGCAGATCTGTGGAGCAGCAGCAGGAGGAAGGTTAGTATGAAAACCAGCATAATTAGCACGGTGATGTTGTTGCTGAACACTCTGATCCTGAGTGTTTGTTGTAGCTAATTGAATTGTCAGTGTAGACATTGTTCATCTCTAAGTGGAACTCCTGGGAGGAAAACAGAAAACGTTCCTCCGAGGACAAGAGATTCTCAGCAGCTAAGGAAGACAAAAGTTTTTGGCAGCAGTTCCAGTAGTTGTCAAAGGTGTAAGAATGCCCTGGATAAATAAGTGGATATGGACAAGTCCTAGATTCATCTGTTATTAAATGATAAATTTGGGTGGACAGCCTACAGTTACTTGTCAACTGATACAGCTGTAATTCCTCATCCCCATCAATCAGAGAGGATATGCTTTGCCAGGCCACCGGCAAGAAGCATGGTTACTTTTCCTGGAATAACCATTACTTCACAAAATTGAAGCCAGGGAGGATCTCCGGTGTGTGCTCTGCATGTAGCATGTTACTGAAGACAGTATGTTTTGAGAGCAGACTGGGGTACTCTCCCTCTGGCCTTAGGGTCGTGGAGGCTGTTACCCCGGATTAAAAGCTTTGAACCAAATTTGAATGTTGTAACATGGGATTGCAGATAGAAAACATAGACATAAGATACTCCATTCTTCTAAGCTCGAGGTTTTTATATGTGAAAGAACCAACAGTGGAACATTTGTGTTCTTCACAGCTCTGTTTCCTTGCTGTTGTTGGCTGTCACCAGAGGGAGGTGGTAATCTGAGGGGGCTTAAGTGTGATGTGCATACAGAGTATGCATGTGCTTGCATATGAAGGGGCATATGAGGGGCATCTGATCCGAGAAACTGAGCGTAGCTGGGAATATCACCTCCACTGTAAAAAAGGAGGTTGAAGGAAAGAAATAAAGAACTCCAAAACACAAACCATTTTACGTTCATTGTCAAAAGTTTGGGTGTTTTTACTGTTGGGAATTAAACCACTCCTCATAGTAGCCTCATTGTGTGTCCTGTGTGTTTGCTGAGAGACCTAAAAAGTTTCCAGCCAAAGGTATCTCCTGCTTCTGAGACCTGAAACAAACAAATCTTTGAAAGCCTATATCCTTTTTTTTGTTCATGTTTACTGCCCCAGGCCTAAGCAAGAAGTGAGAACTGGTGTGATGAACTGTGCACAAGTAACACAGTGGCTTTGCTGGCTCTTAAACCCCATCTTCCGTAGCTTGGCGGCATATAAAAACTTGTAGCAACCAAAATAGAACATGATTTGGTAGTGAGGCTACCAACTAAATATATCAGAATATTTATTTTCATTGCTGCATGTTAGCTTTGTAAAACTTAGCCAGAGCTCTGTGAAGTGTATCTATAAGGCTACAGTAGTTCTGTTCCAGAAAAGCATGAGAGTGCATTGGGATGTTCTGGAGGTTCTTTTTATAATCCCGATCATCACCTCTGCCATGGCTTGCCTTCCTCTAACTATAAAATTACTTGTAAGGCTGATATCCGATTGTTGAAGGAAACTTTGTAGCTGTAAGGTGCTGTCCTGGTACCAGTAGTACTCTTCTTGACCTGGAACAGAAGGATTTCTAGCAGAAAGAGCAGGTCTGTGCTGCTGCAGTGAATCTCGCTGGGCTGTAACCTGAAACTTCACTAACAAGCTGCTTGAGCCTTTCCACGCCGCATAACTGGGCTCTGAGTTAAGAAGGGTGCAAACAAATTTTGAGCTCTGTCAAACTTGGGGGTTATTCCAAGGCCAAAGGTATCATTTCTCATTCTTGACTTTTTTTTTTTAAACTAGGTCAGTTTTGGTTGCCATCAAACATAAGAACGGGGATGATTTAGCAGCAATATAGAGTTGAATGGGCTTTGTTTTCATATAGATGAAAGGGAGCTTAGTGGACAAAAAATAAGTAACCTCTTAATAGAAAGCAGTACAGTAAATTGAAGGCTTATGTAATGTTTTGTAAAATTTTTAGGCAAAAGAAACCCACCCATATTTGAGATCTCATTCCATTGCAGTAGTCGAACAGCTAGAGACAAGTATAACAAGTTTTAAATTTAATAATATCACCAGGATCACATTATTCTTAAAATACCACATATGGAATATGTTTGCATTGCTGTACTATTTTTACTTATCACCGTAGGTTTTTGATCAACGATATAGCTCTTTTAGGGGAAAATAGTATTTTCAAATTAAGCTTTTAGTCTGTGTTTTAGAAAAATATATGTAGTTCCTTTATGTAGCATATTAATCTGAAAATATTAATGTAACATTCCTAGCGTACACTTGGTTGCATGCATTTAGTGTGTAAGTGTTGACAGCTGAACAATGGTCCATACAGAGTTCAGTTACCAATTTGGCAGCGTAATCCAGAACATTGATACCCATCAAAGTCTTGAAGTGATGCTCTTTGGATCAAATCCTCTTGCATACAAAGTTCGCTGCTTTTAACTCAATGTTTTCTTTCGACTGTTGGCATTCTGTAGTTTCACCAGTGATAATTAAAGAATGGGCTGCTTACAAAGGAAAATCTCCTCAAACCCCTGAGCTGGTGGAAGCACTTGCATTCAGGGAGTGGACCTGTCCTAATCTGAAGAAGCTGTGGCTGGGAAAAGCAGTAGAAGACAAGAACCGAAGAATGAGGGCATTTTTGGCCTGTATGAGATCAGATACACCAGCAATGCTCAATCCAACTAATGTGCCCACTCATCTTATGGTGCTCTGTTGTGTACTAAGGTCAGTGTGTAGCTTAAGGTAAAACAGAATAAAGGAAAGGTTTTAACGTTGTATTAAACCATGAGTATAGAAAGTGTTAATTCATATTTGCAGTGTTACTAGGAGAAGGGGTTTGTTTTGTTTTTAGAACATTACTGCTGTGAGTCTTAAGTGTGCTGTGTATTCAATGTTTCTTTCTTCAGTCTCTAGAGGACTGAAGGGAGGAGAAAAAAACCCCTCACATTGCAAACAGGCCACTGTAGCATTACAGTTACTTTACCCTTACTATACTCCAGGCTTCAGCTTACTGAAAAATAACATTTGGGGTCTCAGAGGCTGTGTTGGTGAAGTTGTAAAGCAAAGAGTTCTTCAGAGAACAGCTGCATAGCAGCTTGTCAGGAATGCAAAGTTCATGTGAATTGATACTCTGCCTGTGATGGGTTATATTCCCTGCGTTAGAATTGCTCATCGGGTTGCGATGATGATAACCAACAGTTGAAGTATTAATTCTATACTTAGGCTTTTCAAAGAGGATGTCACAAGGTCCAAAATTCTTGTTTAATTTTCACATTGAAAATTGACTGAGGAATTGAGGAATGCTCACCCTTTTCAAAAGAGGTGATTATTTCAATGCAATTAGCTTACAAATCTGGCAGAATCCAAGGTTAGCATGTTGCACGTGAAAAATTTTAAGCCAATTTTGAGAGTGATGAATGTGCGTTTGTCTTCAGTTCTATTGTACTTTGTCTTGCCTTTCAAGCACTAAAACTCCTTTGTTTTTCTCCTTATAGAATAGTAAGTATACAAAAAGTAGTCCAAATGGTATACTAAAGCAGAGCTCCTCATTCATTTGGACGGCATGTTTCACTCCTGTGACATGGCATATATAAATTGTTGTTCATGAAGATGTGATGAGCATACAGTTCATCAATGAGATAATTTGAGTAATGTGTTATATGGAAACCATCTTCACAAAGTCCTCTTACCATTAGTCTCTTGTAAAGAACATTAGTCTTTATATTATTTTATATTGAGGCGTATCAGAATCTACTTATGTTTTAAGTTCTGTTTTGGTTGCCTGTCCTCCCCTTCTCTTGTACAACTGAGTCACAGCCAGTAGCTTCTCCATATGAATTTAAACAAATTTGAACTTCAGTTCTATTTAGTGTTTTCACCTTTTTAACTATTCAAGTCTAGACAACACAAAATATGTTTTTGTTGTTGCATTCTAGTGATTTCTGATCAAATAAAATACCACTTGATTTACTCACTAAAGGAAGCTTCTGAGTAATTTTGGGCTTCCTCTGTAGGTATATGGTACAGTGGCCGGGGGTTCGTATACTTCGCCGCCAGGAACTTGATGCTTTCCTTGCCCAAGCATTGTCTCCAAAGCTCTACGAACCTGACCAGCTTCAGGAACTCAAGGTAATTTTTGACTCTTAACTTCCATTATTCCCAGCAGATCCATATTGTAGTGGGTGGTGTATATGTACCTGTCTCACTAAAAGCCTTCCATAATTATCTATACTTTCCAAAATACTCATGTAGTATTTTGAAGTATTGCAAAGATTGCTAATCAGTTCTGTTTTCACTGGTTGGGTAGGTAACTAAAACCTTAAACATAATCTATACTGCAGAGCCTTGTCTCATAATTTCTTAATAATTGTCTCTGGGAAGCTTCAGACAAATGTGCTTCCATTAAAAAGATGGAAAGAAAAAGATTTATTCCTTGTGTGGCTCTTCTTAAATACTAACCTGGGTATTTTTTCATGAGTCAAAAGTTTTTTGCAGCTAAGTGTAGAATTGGAGAGAGGCTTCCATAATCTTGAATAGAAAAATGCAAGGGGAAAAAAAAAAGGAAAAACACTTTAGTAATACTCACAGAATTGTAGAAATAATTATTTTGAGGATTTTAACAGTTAGGATCTCAGTTTCTATTTTTTTTCCTAATATGTTAGTATTGAAGCATGAAGTAAATACTGCTAGCTAATTGATGGAGTTTATTGTGGTATCCTGACTGTAAATACGGAGTGCCTGTCAATCATGGTCGTATTCTGGGGGATTTCCCTGTTCAGCCTTCATAGGTTCACAGTGAAATTTCCTCTTCTGGCCTTTAAGTAAAATATACAAGATTTGGGTTTTGCTTTTACCTTGTTTGCTCAGAACCTGCTGTGAAGTTGTCTGAATAAATTGGTAGAATTTAGTTCTTTTTTTTTCTTTAAGCAAACATTTTTCTGAATGGAAATTATTTTAGATACTTTTTACTACAAAGTGTGTCTTAAGCCCCGTAGTGTATTTGATAAGTAGAAGCTGTGGGGCTATTAGGATGTATAGGAATGCACAACTGGAAGTGATCCATGTTATCTCCTGTCTGTGTTGATAATCAACATAGCAAAGGAGGCAAGAAGCTGGTCACCTCTTCGTCATGCTGCCTCATGTTGAAGAAGTCATTTCAGATTGTGAAGGACAATCGGGTACTGTAGGGCTCGGGAAAGTCTAGTGACCAGTTCTGCTCCCAGCAGGGCCAGGACACATTCTGCCCTTAGTTAAAGCCACAAGGAGAAGGTACTTGGTTCCCCGGTTTGTTCATATTCACAGGTACATACTGCGGAGAGGCACAGACAAAAGCAGCAATCCTAGCACTGCTCCTCTCAGATGACAGAGTAATTAAGCTCAGGTAGATTTCAGCTATTAGGCTTGTCTAAGGAATATTTTGCTGCTAATACTGATTCTGCAAGAGCATTCCCAAAGCCAGTAAGTGGCTAGTTCTCTTCTGTGGGTGACAAGCAGCATCTGGCTTGCCTTCCTGCATGCAGCACCCTGGCAAGGATATCTCAGTGTCATTGTATAAACCAAATTGGTCTGCTCATGGAAACCCAGTGCTTAGCCATAGAAGTAGTAATAAATGTAAAGGGAGGAAAACGACTGAATCCTCTTTGGAATCTGTTTGAAGACAGTGAACAGCTGATGAGTTCATGCAAGGCTGCTTGTTTACTTCAGCTCTTAGGACTGGATTGCTGCTGACAGAGTAGCAATCGGCGGAGTATAGTGGAGAGCCTTTTAAAGTCTCGTGAGAGCATGGTTCAAGACATCTACGCCAAGCTCTCCTGGAGCGGAGTACATGCGGGTGTTGGTGGAAATTCAAATGACAGTTTTGTAGGCAAGGGTGGCTGCACCAAGGAACAGCGATATTCCTTCAGCACATGGTTCCTTAAGCCACATGGTCTTCAGTGTCCGTTTTCAAAAGCAACACAATAAACAAGTAACATCGATGGGTAGAGGTCCTGGCAAAGAGTTATCAGTCTGTCTTAAGACCTGATGCAAAGAGAAGGAAATCCCACTGTGACAATTGCTGGTCTTGGAGATGTGAGAAAGGAATTCCCAGAGAAAGTTTTTTTTTTCCATTCCAGTACAAAATGAAAGGCAGAGGCAAGGCAAGTGACAAGCAGCATGCAATATTTTTGTTTCATGGAAATCGTTGTCCAAGTTTTACTTTTAATTGTACATGGCTCATTGCCATCACGTGTGTTGGTCAACTGGAGGATGCAGTGTTTCCTGCAGTGTTGTTACTGTCTTCATATGAAGCAGCTGCTTCTCTTTTTGCTGAAGTCACACAGAAAGGGCAGCTGAGTTTGAATCCAGCTGCATAGCTGCAAAGCGATGTGCATAGGCTTTTGGGTCTTAAAGGTTACTTATGCATAAGGAAGGTAAAGGAGTTTAATTTTAAAATTTAATGTCAAAGTCTTGAAAATGTTCCCAAGAAAGGGCTGATATTTTCGGAAGTATTTTAGAGAGCACTACTAGTGATATTTCCTTATGCCAGAGCTAAAAATGTATTTGCTGCAAGCAAATCCTTTTTGCTTCCACCACCTGGTATTATTCACTATTCAATTCTACCTTTGTGATCTATCCTGCATACTTAATAAAGCTGTTGTATGCATAAACATTACTTCATTAATAAGAGATTCATTCTAACAGCAAAATCTTGAATCAAGCTCATAGAAAATCCATTATAAAGGAGTTGGAAGGGAAATGTGGTACCTGGGAAGAAAAATTGAATGTGAACCTTGAGTTTATTCCTGAAACTTTCTACAAAATATCTCAGAAGCACAAGATTATTTGAAATCTATTTTTTAATGGCATTCTCTACTGCTTATTTCTTGTGTCTTTAAAGCTTTTCCTTGCTATATAACATGCTTTAGCATTGTTTGAAATACTGTGCTGCATATTTAGCAATGATCTTCATGCAGCTGAAGTGTGTCTGCATCTTATATGTGTCAGACACCACTTGTCACAAACTGATCGTGATGATTTTTCTTAAAACTTTTTCTTGACTTCTTGATGATGAATTGAGTTAAAACATTAAATGTTAGAGATGATTTTCTGTGTTTTGTCGTTGACAGAATAGGGTTTTTTGGGTTTCTCTCTCACTTCTAGAGTGGATGGATGGGCAGAATAGGCTTCCTGAGTACTGCAGTTTTGCCTGTGAAGGCGATAGCGATAGGTTCTGCTGCATTTTGCTGGTCAAACAGGCAGTCCTGTGTGAAAAGTCCGGATGACCTTTTAAAATTGCTCTGTTTTCAAGAGTTTTGAAAATAACGGTGTTGTGGTTTAACTCTGGCCAGTGAAATACCATGAAGATGCTCTCACACCTCCCCCACTCATTCTGTGAAGAGAGTTAATCCTGACTAAAACCAGCACAAATGGTACTATTGGAATAACTTTGGGTGGCATCTCGTTATTATTAAATTTACAATTTTTTTCACAGATTGAGAATCTCGATCCCCGAGGAATTCAGCTGTCTGCTTTATTTATGAGTGGTGTCGATATGGCACTTTTTGCAAACGATGCTTGCGGACAGCCAATTCCATGGGAGCACTGCTGTCCGTGGATGTATTTTGATGGAAAATTATTCCAGACCAAGCTCATCAAAGCAAGCCGGGAGAAAGTTCCGCTCATTGACCTCTGTGATGGTCAGGTGTGTATTTTCAGAAGTGTGCCGTAGGATGAAGTGTGCCAGATTTTCAGAACTGTTAGGTGTCGTTGGTTTATCAGTCCACCTATCCCCTCTGTACTTTTAAAAGGGAAATGTGAATGGCTGATAAGTGTTTTTCAGCTTTATTTACTCTCCTCTCTTGCTGATCATTGAGGTGGTGTTTTAGTAGCTTTGGAAAAAGTAAACTGGTGTAAATTTGAATTTCATTTTTTTTCCTCTCTGGAAACTGAAACTTGAATGCAGTGTTGATGTAATGAGTAACTTGGAGTTGAGAACTGTCTCTGCTCGTTTGTTCTTTTTGGGTCATGCTAGCAAGACTCACAAAGGACTAAGCTGCAGTGGTTTTACAGTGAAGGAAAATTAGTGATTTCTGACTTACTTCAGGCTGTGAAATCATTCTTATGGTCCTTAAGCTCAAAATCTTTTCTTGTTTCTTACAGTCATCTTAAAATACAAATGAATTACTTTTTTGTTGTATCCAAATCATGCAAAGTTGTTATCTAACTATAAAAACAGGAAACCGATAAAAACCAACAGTTTACTGAATGACCAAAACTTTTTGAGGTGAGGTATGAAATCTTAAAAAAACAGCTTACCTCTTCTTATTTCTGACTCAGGGAAACTAATTATAGATTAAATACTGGTGATGGCTGTGGTCCTTCTCAGGCTTGTTAGCCTTCAGACATGCTTTAGCCCATATACACAGATTTTGTTTTGCAATCCAGGTTTATGATATTTATTCTGTATAAAGTCAAGGACTGCATTAAGTGTTCAGGAGACTACAGATGGAGGTTTCTCAGTTCCTTTCTGGGAAAGCCCTTCTAACTTATAACTGTTTCTGTTACGGACTTCAGTATTTAGACTCCTGTCTCTACCGATCGGTAAAGATTTTCTTGTCGACAATTGGAATATCATTGAACCTAGTGGAAGGTGTGCAAGACAGATTAATCTAATTTTTTAGCTAGCTTTATGGAAGTTGTTTGCAGTAGTTAGCTACTCTTTTATTATTTTGCTTTCTTCTTTGAATTTGTTGTGTAAATGTAGCTTTATACAATTGAAATCAGAATTTTAACATCTCTTTGCACCCTTGTCTTTATTTGCAGGCTGAGCAGGCAGCCAAGGTTGAAAAGATGCGTCAGAGCATCCTAGAAGGATTAAATTTCTCCAGGCAGAACCATCCTCTCCCTTTCCCACCTCCACCTGCCATGCCTTTCTATCCAGCTTCTATGTATCCTCGACACTTTGGGCCAGTCCCACCACCTCAGGGCAGGGGGAGAGGCTTTGCTGGTAAGTAATGGGACAGCGGTGCGCAACATGTTGGTGTGAAGAGTTACCTTCTCTTTCATATTCTGAGAACTTACCAACTGATTTGCTTGTTCAACTTCATAGGAAAAATACATGAAAGCAAGTGGTTGACATGTGTTGTCATGTGTCAATCACTGTATTTTGTTGTTACTTTCATTAGCCATAGCCTAGCAAAATGGAATGTGTTGTATTGCTGCAGATTTCCATCAGGGGTTTTAGTAACTGTGCCAGATCAAAATATTTTTACCACTATTGTGTGAAATAGAAAAAAGAGGAATGGATCGACACTGGATATATGAAAAAGGCTCTTATGCACTGTACACTGCTTCAAGACGTTTATATTTATAAATATTAAGAATGCCTAAATGAATGGACACAGTTGTGTCAGGGTTGAAGATAACTTGTCCTCTTCCCCACCCCTCTGTGTTTTGCTACAGTCATTTAACCATTGGCACCCTTGAGTGTAAATACTGATATAACCATTCCAGGCTGTTTCTATAATTATTCCCTTTCTCAAAATCTCTCTGGTACCAAGGCCTGTAGGTGTATTGATACCGGACATTGGGAGTAAGATGGTCTTGAGGTGCCACAACTGTAGCCATTGGAGCTCATTGCCAAAAAATTGTCAAAGGCCTTTCAATGCTCATTATGCCGTAGAAGTTGGGATGCCCATTCCAAAGCCACGATAAAGGCCTGCTATTTGGATAAGAAAGACACCCTGTGCTCACTAAGGCAGCAGGACATCTTTGGCCAGGGGGCTTCCTTGGCAGTGATGGCTTGCTCCCACACAGCATGGCCTGCAGGAGCCTGGCCCTCCCTGCTGACTCTGGAAGGGTGGAAAGAGGCAGCAGCATCTCTGCTAGGGGTGTTCCCAGGTGTGTGGCCCCCTCACAGCTTTTCCCCTGTCTTTCTTTACCCTGGGTCTAACAGGAGTCTATGGCTTTGGAGGCCCTTATGGGGAAACAGTAGCCACAGGCGCTTACCGGGCCTTCCGGGTGGCGGCAGCAGCAGGACACTCCGGAGCCTTCTCTGGCAATGACAGCAACAGGACTAGCAAGTTTCAGGGCGGTAATTATACCCAAAACCCTTTTCTTAGAGCTTCTGACAACGGCTTCCTTCACTTTACGGTTTGGTCTGAGGCTTTCCTACTGACTGCCCGTCTCCCTTTCTCCCTAACTGTCTCAGCTCTCCCTCTCTAGAGCCTGCCCAGGCTGCTGTCCACTCTGCTCTCCCAGGTGCTCTCCCCAGGTCCCCCCTGCAAGCCCCCTCGGCATCAGCCTCTGTCACGCCTAGAAACCCTCCTCCCAACACAGGATAGCTGTAAAACTTAGAGTCTGTCTCCTGCGCTTCAAAATGCGAGGGTGGAATCTGTAATCAGCTGAACTTTGCTTGAATGTATTAACAGTCATTTTCTAAAATTCGGGGGCAGTTGAGCTTTTTGCAGAAACAGCCCAGTGTGGAAATGACTGACTGCGATGTTACTGCTAACCCATTCTTAGCTGGCATCACTGTCAGCGTGGGTACAGGCGTGAGATTCACTTCCCTACCTGTGTGCCCGTTGCTTGTCTCCTGTACAAGGTGGGCCAGTGGGAACCTGTTACTGCCAGTCCCCTGTTGAGGGTAAAATTTTTCCATGTATTCAGCTGTTTTTTTCTGGCCTCTGAGCTTTTCTCCTAAGATCAAACATGCCTCTAATGCTTCCTTGTGTGAATAACTTTGCCCCTGTAAACAATGTGCCTTTGAAGCTGAAAGTCTTGTACAGGGAGGTATGAACCTTTTTTAATTTAATCAGTCGTTTGGTTCCTAGTGTATTAATGTTTGAAGACTAATTGCGGCTGCGTAAATGCTGTGTTTTGTAACCCTTTTGTGCTGATGGTCTTACCAGTAACATCTGGCTCAGTTGCGCTTACCTAGATTTCTTGAAAAATATGTTATGCCCCAGTGTTGATTTTTAAGGGCAAAACACAGGTATAAGGATAGGAGCAACTTGAATTAAAGGTAACATTCTTATTTTAGACAATTGCAATTTTAGCTGCTTTCTTGGTAGGGGAAAGCTAAACCTACCTTTTACAAGATCAGTAAAATACTGTATTTTGATAACAACCTAGCACAGATAATTCTGTCTAGTAAGTTGTTCGCAGCAATTATAGTCCGTGTGTTTTACGCTGATATTTGCTGTTTGCTAAAACGTGCCTTTAAACCTGCAAAAACTACTTCTGCATTAGGAATGGAGGGAAAAAATGATGGTCAGATAGCTTGTAAAATTCCACTTCAGTGTCCTAATGCTCACCTGAAGTACATTCTCAGTTACTGAGACTGAAGTACTGATGTAAGAGAATTTTTCTTTTCAGAATTCGTATCTATTTTCTAAGAGGGGTGGGTGGGGGAGAAAGGCTTGGAGTCACAGTACTTCTGAAAGACTGCAAAGTGAGAAATAATCTCCTAGTATCAAAAGAGGAAACCGTGTATGAAATAAAACCTGGGCAAGCCAGGTTTCCGTTCATTCGAACTTGACTGTTGTGATTGTGAAGGTCAAGGTTTGGTTTTGCTTTTATGTGCAGGAGTCCAACCTATTCCTTCTCAGGGAGGGAAACTTGAAATTGCCGGCACTGTAGTCGGCCACTGGGCTGGAAGCAGACGCGGACGAGGGGGTAGAGGGCCGTTTCCTCTGCAGGTCGTTTCCGTGGGAGGACCAGCGAGAGGGTAAGTGCAATCTTCTGGGATATACTTTCTGTATGTGATTGAGTGGTTGCAGGAGAAAAAGTAAAACAGGGAAAAGTTGGAAGCATTAGAAATTGTATTCAAGAAAAGCATTTACATTCATTTTATGATGTTTTTAATCAGTTATTCAGATGAGGAAAAGCATTTTTTATGTGCCAGTAAAGTGTTTTACATGAGGAAATAATTTGGGGGATCTCTCTTACATGAAACTCATAAATACATTATACCTGATCAAAACTGTCACAGCACTCAATTACTTCCTTTGTCATGGTAGAACATTTATTAAACAGTAGGATAAAAATTTTAATAACTACGTTATGTAATTCTTCTGTGAAGCAGAAAACACCTGAAGGACATTTCTGGGTTTAATGGTTTTCTGCTACAGTCATGATGGGAGGTGTGCTTAAAAGAATATTAATTTCTTTGGCTCTTCCACTTCATTTCACTACAGCTGAAATTACAGGTGCTTAACATTTCTGAAAATTGGTAATTTGTTACAAAAATATCGAGTCCTTTACTTTTAAGATTACATTTTTTTCATAGGCTTAATTGTTCTGTGCCTCACAGAACTGTCCATCTTCAGTTAAGGTTGTATCTGTTACAGGAGGCAATCCCAAAGTAATGTGATTTATACATTATGTCTGTCTTTAACTGTACTAAAGGAATGGAGTAAAGTAGGTGTATTTATGCCATCCTGAGCCAGGAGTAAGTCTGAGCTGCATGAATTCCTCTCTATCCACTGATCTAATGAGGTGTGCTAAAGTCAGCAAGAGCTGTTGGAACAGCTGTCTTGTTGGACCGAGTGAGGAGATGGTTGGATCTGAAACCCTGGGAGAATGGGACCAGGAGGAGAAGCGAGAGCTGCTGGTGTGGGGACAGGGAGAGGTAGAAACAGCAAAAACAAAGACTAAAAAGTTCAGCAGCAGCAAATAGGATCAGCGTAGGAGCAGAGCTGACACTTCAGGGGAGCATATTTAGGTAGGAACCTTTTGTTCTCTAGAATGAGACTCCGTTGCCAAAACATGAGCATCCAGTGCTGTTAGATGCCTCAGACAACTGCCAGCCCACTGGGCAGGCTAGCGGGGTCTGTGGGACTCCTGCGCTCTTGGGCAGTAGCAGCTGGAGACCAGGGGAATAAGCTGAGGTGTGTGATGATGCACTGGGCTCCTTTGGGTTTTTCAATCTTACTCCTTGGTTTCACCACTTATATGAGGTTCGTGTGCAGTTTTAAGTCCTTCTGTTTGTGGATCCTCATGAAAGACAGCATCTGGCCTTCTACAGAGCTGGTTACTTTCCTTCAGTTAAATGCACTGGCTACAGGACTGTTTGTGGAAAACCTCCGGGCGGTTTATAGTGTCATAGTCAGGCTGCTCGCTGACTGAGGCACCCTGAGTGATGATCTGGAGACACCTGCAGGCTCAGATCTGGCTTACATTTACACATGCTATTGACTTCCTTCACAGAATAGCAGTTCCTCCATTTTCTGAAGAAGCAAATACATGAATTTATGCAAATCATCAGTAGCCAGGAGCTAACACTGGCAAGTCCTAAATTTGAGAGCCCTCTTTACCTGAGAAGCGGTCAGATCACTGAAAGTGTGTTATTGCTCCTGTAAGTACCTTTACGACAGGGAAATACTGTTCTCCAACAGTAGCTTTTGAGTTAGGAGATAACATACCCGACATCTGCTTTCTGTCGTAGGTACTTCGGGCAGTTAGGCCTGGGTGTGAGTTGTCACCTCAGAAAGACAGAACTGTCAGTGGCAGATCATCCTGTCTCCATCAAACCATGACCGGTTAAATTCTTCAGTGTAAAGTTACTAGAATTAGTCAAAGAGGGGAAAATTACTGCAGGCAGCTTATCTGTTTGTTGTGTCAGTTGATAATAAAAATAAAACCTAGTAGGAAAACATGCTAAGGCTAGTGTTCTGTGTGAAGACAGGTATTTTAAAGATTGGGGTCCTTGTTGGCAGCTGCTGTTCCGTACTAAAGAACACTGCTAGGAAACTGCACAGTGTGTTGCCTGCAGTTTGTCACCCAGTCCTGCATGCTTCGGTTTCGTTTTTTACTGGTTTCAGCGGAGGGGCTGAAACTGGTACATGTCAGTCTACGTTAGGCTTTTTTACACCATTGTCTCATGTCTCTCTGCAACACTGAACTTGGATGTTCTTCTGTAAAATTATACCAGCTGCTTTTGATTGGCTCTGATCCATGAGTATATTTAGTGTGATTTTTCTGAGTAGGAGAAATCTTACTCAGCTCCCTGAAGGGTACACTTTCACCTTGTAAAAAAGTTAGCAAATGGGATAGGTAAGCCCTGTTAAAACCTTTGGAAAGAATGCAGTGAGTTACACAAATGTAGTACACAACTTATTCCTCTTTTTATTCTTTGCTGTTGTTTTTAAATCCCACTATTTTATTTCTTCCTGCTCAGTGTGGGAATGTGCAGTGTGTGTGAAAAGACTTGCATGGCACAGATCAGTGTTTCTCCGCCAGTGTAGCGTAGCTTTTGCAGCAGAGCAGCCCAGGAAGCAGGAGCACTACAGAAAAGCTTACTTCCTCTTCAGGCGGGTTTGTACAGCTCCCAAGGACCCTGGGGGCGATGGGAGTTGTCGGCTATATGGAAATGGAGGCACAGTAAAATTGCTGCTCTCCTTTGTTGCCAGAATGGCAAAAGGGGCAATTGCAGCCCGTGCAGGTTAGAAAGTAGTCGGGGGGGGAGGGCCTGGAGCTGAGCAGCACCTGGCTGCTCTGTGCCAGCATTAGAGGGGTCAGTCTCATGCTGGGAATCCCTGTATCGGGCAGTGGATTTGGAGGCAGAGTAATCACCTGCTTCTACTAGAGAAAATTAGAACTTTTAGGTGCTTGATATAATGATAAGGAAGTTGAGTTTCTGCAGTTGATGGCATTAGCTGAGTGAAAGTTTGTTCTGATCTGATCTTTATTGAATCAAATCAAAAAGCTGCCAACTGATGTGTCCTGCTTGGAAGCCTCCATATGAAAGCATCCAAACTTGTGAAATAGCTACATGTCAGATATGGCTGAAGCCTCCTTTTTTTCCCTTGGGTTCTTCGATAATTTTATATTCGCCCATCAGAACTGAAGTAATTTCATATTTTGCTTTCCTTTCTTTCATCTGATTCCTTCTCTCTAGCATGTTTATATGTGGGAAGTGCTATTAAAAAGGAGAGATGGCCTTATAAATGGTTCAGATTGCTTGTGTATTTTTTTTAAGGTGGAAGAATTTTCAGGTCTGTTTTTAAAGCACTCTAAGGGTAATTTGACACTTTGAAAATGTTTCTGCATATCTTGAAAGTCCTCATTTGTTGTTCTTTGGAAGTGAAATATAGAAATTGTCATTTTATTGCTGCAAAACCTAAAGGTTTGTTAGGTTTTTGTATACTTGCAAGCAGTAGAACCCTGTAATTGTGAATTAGTTACTCATATTGCTGCTTTAAGGAAATGTAAATGTTAGTCGCTACCCAGGAAAGCTAGGGAAAAAAAATCTTCCCATAAAATAAAATTTAAAGTAATTTTAAACAAAGCTGATACATATCTTTTTTTTCTTTCTTTTTCCTCAAAACTTACAGGCGTCCTAGAGGAGTTATTTCCACTCCAGTGATAAGAACTTTTGGAAGAGGCGGAAGGTACTATGGGAGAGGTTATAAAAGCCAGGGAGCAATTCAGGTAATAAAGCCATGTGCCTGACTTCAAAACACTCTGGTTCACAGGCTAGCGTGGGTTGGAGTGCCAGAGCAGCTAATCTTGACAAGCACAACTTTAGGAGCGTTTCTTCCAGTGGTCTTTGCCTGTGTGTTGAAGCTGTAAGCTCCACAGCCAGTGACAGATGCCAGGCTAGTGTTGCACCTCAGTTACAAGCAAACTTGGGTTATGAGGACAGACGTGGGAAAACGTGTTTTGGTAGGAAGGCTGTGCCTACACAGCTCTAACCAGTCGTAGGAGTAGAAGAAAATTTAGGAAAATGGGAGAATACAAAGCTGAAACAAATTAGCCGTTTCTGTTCCCACCCCCATTCTTTCCCAGTTTCTTTTCTGGGACCATTGTCCAGCCTCATGAAGAAAAATTACTGGCAGTAGAAGGATCTAGTGTGGAAGGTGTCCCTGCCCATAGCAGGGGGGTTGGAACTGGATGGTCTTTAAGGTCCCTTCCAACACAAACCATTCTATGATTCTATGATCTTTGCTGCTGCATGGCTCCAAATGTAAGAACTTACTCTAAACTTCTAGGAAATAACAGACTGGTCTTTGCCCCTCTGAGCACACAGTTTCATTTTCAGTTGCAGTGTATTAAGTGTCTGTGAATCGTGGGGTTTGCCTTTTCCATGGGCCCTTTAAATACAGCTGAAGCAAACTCTTGTTTCATATAAAATGCCAATTTCTTCGGAGTATGTTTTCCTCCCTTTCCCGTTCTTGCTGCTATGCAGTTTTGAATGTTGATGCAAGTCCCAGTGGTAATGGATGAGTGGGTAGCAAATAGGTGGGAAACTTTGACAATAAATACATCATACGGATCTGCAGTTTGTCATGGAGACATTAGTATGTAAGAGTAGGGGGGTGTTTGCAGTTATCAGTAAGAGAAGGGATGTTCTCCAGTGGATAATGAAGCAACTATTAACTTCAAGAGAAATTTGTGTTCTAGGTGTAAAAATTCTAATACTTCCTTGTCAAATTTCTGTGTATACAGATTATATATGTGTACAGATGTACCTATGTATTTAAAGCTTTACGTCTTTTACTTGAAATAGAAGAGAATCCACTATGTTAATTATATAGTACCTAATTTCCAAGTACTTCAAACTTATGAAATAAAGGAAGCCCTGAGAAAGCTCCCAGATATTCTGGGCTTACTACGAGATTACATGGTAGACACAGTTCGGGTAGTACGTGTAGGTGGGTGGTCGATAGTGATGGCAAGTCAGTCAGCAAGTTTGGGTATTTAGATTTTTATTAATGATATGTAGTATGGAAGGTAAAGACTTGTGCTCTGAAATAAAACGCGAGTGTCAGGGAGAACTTGGGGGAACCATGGATAACAAGGAGGTTTTGATACCCGGTTGAGCTAACTGGCCGCAGTGTACTTCCCGCCTCGCAAACCCGGGCACTGAGGGCCGAGTGCCTCTGCAGGGCCCAGTTCAGGCATGTGTGTTTGCACCAGGTACCACCCTCCCCGCAGTGGCTTTGATCCTTGTCGTGAGACGATAACGAACCAAGGTTGAAGAATCTGTCTGAAAGAAGCAATTTGTAGTTATTAAACCTAAAGCACTGCCTATTTTTTCACAAGATGAGACCTTTCGCTCTGGAAGGAAACAAAAGCATGTATTTAACCCTTAGCGAAGCCTGTAAAAAGTACCTTTATAGGTGTGATGAATACTCGCTGTGTTCGTGTGCCAGTCATTTTGCCAGGATTTTTTGTGACCTTCTGAAAAAGGAGGTTTGCGTTCCCGATGCTAGAGAACAATAGTTCTTACTCACCTGCAGAATCTTTCAGCAGTTCAGGAAAGTACTAACCATGCTGCTTCTATTATGTCAAAATTAAGATCGTTACACTATGGAACTGTTGGCTGTTGTTTGAGGTGTATAAGATGTCCCTATCTTAGTCATTTCTCGGTGACTTGGCTTTGTTAACAGCGTGACAGATAAGTACGTTGCTACTTAGCAACCCAACCTACTTATTTTGTTTTGTTGTTTAAAGCCTGTTGTGTTTCCCGAACACTGAGGTGCATTGCTGCAGATACTTAAAAACTAAATATACGTTCTAATGCTGCGTAAAATGTTTTTCATTGCTCTGCTCCATCTTGTAAGATTCTATACTATATGCTTTTCCTATGAAGTCACTTTCCTAATCTGAAAGCATATAGACTAGGTGATGTTGCATGGTGCCTTAGCACTCCTTTAAAAATTGTCTGGAGAAAAGTTTTGGTTTGTATTTGAAGAACATGTAACCATGTCATTAAATTGTAACCTATATGAACCAAGAAGCAGAGTTAAGCTGTACGTTGATTCTCAGTTGTGGTGTTGCCAGACTTCTGTGTAGCTTGTACACTGTGAAGTAACCCAAGCGTCACAGTCAGAAAGGGCGTTTTGCCACAGGAGCATCCGGAGGTGCCTGGAAACGGTGCAGACTCTCTCTCGCCTGTGCCGTGCTGTTTGTTTTGTATGCCACTTCTGGTTTCGGCAGCACGCGGTACTCGGTAGTCGCTTGTGGTACTTCTGCACGCTGCATGCCGCCTAGTCATCGTGTCTTTGTAACAGACTGTACATACGTAGCGGTGGTTCCTCAGTAATTTTCTTCTTTTTTTAAAAAATAGGGCAAACCTCCTTATGCTGCTTCAGCAGAAGAAGTAGCCAAAGAACTTAAGTCAAAATCAGAGGAATCTAAATCCTCACTTGTGTCTTCAGATGGATCCCTGGCTGAAAATGGAGTTGTGAATGAGGAAAAACCAGCTTCCCAGATGAATGGGAATACAGGAGACATCAGGGCTTCCAATCAGTCTGAAAGTGCCTTGAGTAATGACTCTAAAATGTGCAATACAAATCCTCACTTAAATGCACTAAATGCAGACAGTGTTTGCCATAAAGATGATGCTCTTGAGGCCACTGTCTTAAAAAAAGAAGAGTAAACTTATTTTTTATAGAGGGTGAAGGATGTTGGGAAGGGTCAGGATTAGGAATATCTGGAAAGAAAGAGAGCCTACAGTTACGTACATTTTTTCCTTTCCGTAAGAGAAAAATGAGGACTTTGGAAATTCGGATCCCTCTTTGATGTCAGAGATTTAAACAACACATTTTTAGTTTTAACCAGTTGTAGTCAAAATGCTACAATAAAACAAAAAAAGGAAGAGAATGAAGAGCATTTGACTCCCGCACTTAAAATGAAGTATACATAAAGTTTAAACTGGTTATGACAAAAGCTTGTAGTTTTGTTTTTTGAAATATAAAGAAAACAAATTTTGGCAGTCTTTAAGTATATATAGCTTAAAATATAATTTTTAGTACTTGGCACCATATGTATGCCATTATATTTGATTTTGCATTACTGTGTCACAATAAAGCTTTCTTTAAGGCTTTGATTTCATGATTATGGGGGGAAAAAGGCACAACCACAGTTTTTTCTTTCTTAAATTTCATCACCGTTGATGTGGTTCTTTTGTGTTAAAATGTGCAAACTATCGAAACTAAAAATTATAGAGTAATATGGCAGTTCTGCTGATTTTAAATATACATCATACATACTTTACAAGCAAGTTAAATGGAGATAAACTTGAAATCATAGAAGATGCAAATGACCTTTCAAAATAAACACAATGTGTTCTGAAACTTTTTGTGACTAATACCATGCATCCGTGATCAATGAACTATGTGGTTTTGAATCAGACGTAGACCATTAGTGCTACTATTTGAGCTAAACTTCTGCATGGTTCATAATTTTTAAAGTGTGTAGTTAATATTATGCATGTTATTGTCCTCTTTCTTCCATTCTTACAAGTACTGTGCCCATTTGCAAAACAAAAAGCTAATAATCAGTAATAGTCCTATAAAAGATGTTAACTATGTTTAGTCATTGACTGATCTTGCTCTAACCTTAAAATTTTGTGATTATTGACCTCTGTTGCATTTATTCTAAAACTTAAAAAAAAAAAATTATCTAGCCGTTTTGAATATCAACGTTACCCTGGTGTACTCATTGCTGTATGCATTATTGTTCTCTGTTGCTGTTTTATGCCTTCATATTAGCAAATATGAAATTCTGTGAAAAACAAAAAAAAAAAGCTTTGATCTTCAAAAAAAAAAAAGTACCCCCCTTCTGTAGCAGGAAACAAATGGCTTGTTCTTGAGAACTTTCCCATCAAGAATTTAGTATAAGCAAATATACCTGTATCATTTTGATGTTTTTGTTAGTGTTTCCAAACTTAATGTACTTCAAAATCAGAATCATTTCTTTATATTCGTTTTCATATAATTCTCCTGATGCTCTTCATCACACATTAGTGATCAGAAATGAGGTGTAATTCCCCATTCCCTGCCCGCAAGAGCTAAGTAGGTATCTTAATGTAAGTTGAAGGGAGTTCTGCCCCAACTCATGGATTGTGCAAGAATGAACTACTGTTGGGTTTGGTTGGTTGTAGATGGATTGTGGTGTGGTGTATTTGAAGGCTATTGAATGCAACTTACAGTGCTTAATAAAAATCTTTATTCTTTTAGTATAAAATACTGTATGCCTTTTTTGTCAACTATTTTTTTAATTAACGTGTAAATAAAAGTTTTCCTATGCCCAAATAAAGCGCTTGAGTTAGCAGACTACGTGATGTCCTCCAGAAAGAGGGAGAGGGAAAACTCGGCCTCCACCCGCCTCTGCTGCTGGGGGTGCCGCGCTGGGCCGGAGTGACGCCTTGTCCTTTGCACGCGACGCAGCTGCTTCAGCTGTCCACCCTTCAGCGCACGCTGGCCGAGAAGAGGAGGTACGGCAGGGTGGTGAGAGATGGCAGGTAAGAGGGAAGTGACGGGGGCAGTTCTCTAAAGAAGGCACCGGCCAGCCCCAAGTGGTGGCAGGGTTTGAAAACCGAGGTGATGGACGGTGCCCGTGTCTCGTCTCCTCGTAGCTGAGAATAAATTCCTGTGGTATGCGGGCGCTTTCTCTACGTCGTGGATCATACGTCATGGGAGGAGTTAACACGTTTCTATCTTGCCTGACAGCAGAAGAGCCTTTCTGTCTGGGCACGCCCTTGCTGGCAGCGGGCTCTGGCTGCGTGTTCAGCCGTCGACCGGTGCCTGAGGCACGCCGCTCCGACGGGCTTGCCCTGAGCGTTTCTGACCTCGCGTCTGCAGGAGCGCTGCTGCGGGCTTGGCTGTGGATGCAGCTCGGAGCAGCCCAGCTGCGGTTTGTGCAGGTGACGGCAGTCGGTGTCCCCCCGTCCGGAGAGGGGCGATGGTGCTGGTGTTGGGGCAGCTCTCGGGGTCTCGCTGCTGAGCGCTGGTGGGACCCTTTCCTTCCTCCCCTGCACTGCCGCAGTGTTTAGTAGCACTGCGCCACGTTGGATCTCGTCTAGCCTGGAAATACTCTCCAGCCTCTCGTGCTGGTGCAAGAGGCTGGAGGTTCAGTTGCGCCCCTTGCCAGCAGTTCCACTCTTCTAGCATAACCCGGGTCTCAAGCGTGGGACAAACGCCACCGGCAGAAATGAAGGTGCTTGGGAGATGTCACCAAGGTGCCCCATGCTGCGGGCGCAGGCGCTTCTCCTGCCTTGCTGTAACTGGCTGCACGGGTTTTCCTGGTGTGACACGCTCTCCTCACAAGTGTGACTGGAAGTGGGGTGTGAAGGTACAGCAGAGTAACGAGTTCGTTGGCCCAGAGGTAAGGGGCTGCAGTTACGGTGAAAGGGTTTGGCTTGCACGCGTGTGTGCTTGACCTCAAGCGTATTTTCTTCAGTGAAACTCTTGCCATGGCCCTGGAGAGGCTGAAAGCAGCTCCTTGGGCAGTAACTGCTGGGCCCGGAGGAGGCTGAGCCTTCAGCTGTTGGCAGGTGCCGGTGGAAGTAGCGACGGGGACGTCTCGCAGATAGCAGAGCTCCCTGGTCCCGACTGGGACCATCGCTGACCACCCTGGAACCAGCACCGGGGTTCCACTTAGCCCCCTGCACCGCAGGGGTGGCGAGTTCAGGGGGTGCAGCGGTGGGCTGAGAAGGGGCTGGTAGGCGAGGGGAACCCAGCGATGCTCTGTGAATCTGCACCCCTTAGGGGCAAGTACAGGGCTGCCCGAGAAACTTCCTGCAGGAAATAAGGTTAATTTTGCAGGAAATAAGGTTAATTCAGTCCTCTTCCAAAGACTTAGGCTGACTCTGGGACTGGTGATCCTACAGAATGACCAGGTGCTGCTTGGGCTCGCTCCTGAGGAGTGCCTGGTGCGCATCAGCAAGTATGTTCCCTTATGCCCCGTGTCACGTGACCCTCTTTAATGCGCCGATGAACGGTTTTAATGATCTACGACCTGCGTGTGGCCAGGCTTTCTGCATCCCCTGTGACAGTGCGTGGGCTGCAGCGGGACAGCAGCTCGGCCTGGGGCGCGGAGGTGGTGATGCTGCTGGCTTGTGTTCTGCTGGGGGTCCCTTGGGGCTGCCTGCACCCTGTCGACACTGGGATCGGCAGCACAGGGCTGTGGCGCGGGGGGGGCAGGGGGGGTTGTTAGGCTTTTCAAGTGTTGGCTGTAGGCTTCCTGTGAGTGACCTGGAAAAAGGTTTTGGGCACCGAGCGTGGAGGCTGGAGCCAGCTCTGGCCATGCAGCAGGTTTTGCATTGAAGCACGCCCCTGTGGGTGCAGCATCTGGAACGGGGGCCCAAGGGTGGAGGGGCTTACTGATATTTGTAAAGTCCAAAGGACTGTGACAAGGAATAGAATAGAACAGAATCACAGAACGGTTTGGGTTGGAAGGGACCTTAAAGATCATCCAGTTCCAACCCCCCTGCCATGGGCAGGGACACCTTCCACTAGACCAGGTTGCTCCAAGCCTCATCCAGCCTGGCCTTGGACACTTCCAGGGATGGGGCATCCACAGCTTCTCTGGGCAACCTGTCCCAGTGCTCCCCACCCTCTCCATGAATAGACTAGAAATTTTAGCTGGGAGGAACCTACAACTGGTCCAACTGCCTGGACTCTTCAGGGCTGCCCAAAAGTTAAAGGAAATCATGAAGGACGTTGTCCAAATGCCCCTTGAACACTGAGAGGCTTGGGGCACCCACCTCCCCAGGAAGCCTGTTCCACTGTTCAACCACCCTCTTAATGGTAGAGTCCTCATTATTCCGGTGGCCAGTATCTCGTTATCCTTCTCCACAGCAGGAGAGTTGCCCGTTTGGGCAGGGAGACGAGGCCGCTGTCCATCCCATGCCAATGGCCTTAGCTGTTGGCTGGGGGCTGCTTGCCCCCCCTTGTAGGCAACTGAGACAGCGGCACTCCTCCCTGGGCTGGCCTCGCTAATTGGTTAACTGTTGTTAACGACTTGGCACGAGCTGTGTGTGCCACACTCGGTCATTTTTACTGCATTTTTAACCTCCGGTCGTCAGCGCCGGCGGGTGGGAATTGCCGACGGTGGAGGCGGTTTAGGGGCCAGGGCTGTCTGTGCAGGGGAACCTCCGCGCCGGCATCCCAGAGTGCTTTTCGTTCTCTGCCCTGGCGCGTTACGTGCAGCAGCGTTGTGTTACGGATGCAGGAAAATGAGATTTAAGCTGTCGGCTAGATGGCAAGTGGCCACACGGCCCCCTTCACCGGGGC